CTAAGTCTCCAAAGCCCAGCCTACGTCGAGCAATTTGAGAACTTAGCCTACGTGGGAGACGGGCAAACGTCAGAAATTGGCGGCAAACAGGGGAATGGCACACATCAGAGATATGGGAGAACACGGAATATGCGTCAGTAAGGGCCTTGCGGAAAAGCAGCCGCTGCCTGGGGAGCGCCGGGGCAGCCTTCGGAGCCACCGCTGGAGGTGACAGCATGCGAAGCCGTGGTGATCAGGAGCTGAACAGGGTGGCCCTGGATCGGGATAACTCCCGAATATACTACAGCCGAACATAGCACACCTATTCCCTCTCCACTTATAGCTGCAACGCTGCCGCAAGTGCTTCCCAGAGAAGCAATCTTGTTGCTCAGAGAACAACTGCCGCAGGCAGGCAACGCAGAAGGTGAAGTGGACTATATGAAATAAATACGCTTCAATCATGCGTGAATACCTACACCATTACAAAATGGAGACTGACACTACGGCCTACCGACAAAAGTCCTCACACTCAAAGATTTCTTCACCGTTTCCTGATTCTGAAGCTAGTGAGCAAAGAATAGGCGGACCAGCGTCGAGCATGTTCAGAAAAATCTCCTCTCTCACCAGTTTTCGAAAGCAATCAAGGAAGAAGTGGAAACAATGCTAAACTCCTCAGAACGCTAGTATCTGAGGGCAGTGGAGAATATCGCTGTGGCAAAGTTCAGGATGACAATGGGACAAGCATGTCAGAAAAGTATGGATGATAAGAGTAGAGAAGAGGTGGAATTCGCAATGACATTTGCAGTCGCACTTGCGGAATTTGAAGGAACTGACCCACTGAACCGCTATCTACATTCCCAGACAAATTGCTCGAAGAAATTAGGAAGAGCAATTCAGCGTCTTGCAATGAGAAAGTACTGCACACAACATCTACAACCAAAGACCATCTTTCGAAGAAGTACACACAGCAATTTTATTGTGGCTGCGGTTGTGGCTCAAGGATGTAACGGTTGCCAAGCTTTTCACCGCGTAGCAACTTCCCAACAATGATCGAAGTGGAAAAGAATCGCCCCTTGGGAAGACGCTCGTGAATCGTATAGAAAGACTAGGAGAGATATCTGGGAGACTCCACGCAAATTTAAAAAAGGAAATACCGTCAGAAAAACTGAGAAGAAAGGTGAATAACATCCTCATCAATACAAAATTCATAGGCGAAGCACGAAGCCCCTTGAATTCACAACAATAAAGAACATCTTGAACAACTACGACAAAAGCTTTTGCGTAACAAAACGCCTTCGACGCTACAGGCATTGGCAACTAACGAGGAAGCAACAGAATTCTCTTTTAACAGAAACCAGAAAAGCATTCTAAACAGGAATATGTCAAAGGGCAAAGGGCTTGTAATGATATGGGAAGAGTCAAAAGCTTCCTCAAAGGCACAAAATTAGAGGACTTTTGGAAGCCTATCTGGTCATTGCTGTGTCCCACAAGCATATATGACGTGGATTGAAATGGAATATGACCAGACACCGAGATATCCCTCTAATGTGTGAACCAATCATCACCGTGGCAATTGTCCAAAGCAGCTTTGGAGCAAGCACATAA